TACAATATGAAGTATAAATGACTACAATACTGAAGTATTAATGACAACAATACTGAAGTATAAATGACTACAATATGAAGTATAAATGACTACAATATAAAGTATAAATGACTACAATACTGAAGTATAAATGACAACAATACTGAAGTATAAATGACTACAATATGAAGTATAAATGACTACAATATGAAGTATAAATGACTACAATACTGAAGTATAAATGACTACAATATAAAGTATAAATGACTACAATATTGAAGTATAAATGACTACAATACTGAAGTATAAATGACTACAATATAAAGTATAAATGACTACAATATTGAAGTATAAATGACTACAATACTGAAGTATAAATGACTACAATATGAAGTATAAATGACTACAATACTGAAGTATTAATGACTGGAACATAAAATGTTTTTATAAAACTGAATAACTGAAATAAATGGGTACTCAACAGGAGGAACTACAAACATGAACATTACATTATTCTAGACTATTAAAATGTCAATGTGTGATATTTAACAATCAGCTAACATTTATAACTGCAGATAGAAACACCTGTAAAGGTTCCTGAGCCTTTAGATGGTCTCTCAGTCTTGTTAAATGACTGAAATGAATGTAGTTTTGCACAGTATTCTAATGTTTCCAGCTTGACATAATTGTGTGTTTTAGTAGCATTTCTGTTGCTGGTAGTCTAGTAATGGTTAATTTTTAAAGAATCCTTTAAAATGACACTAGAAGAGGCACAAGCCTGATGGAGGACTCACATTTACTAACGTGGGTCAGACCCAACCACAGAAGAGCTGCAGCTGGGTGGTAAACACACACAGGTAGTTCTGATAACACCTGAGCACCATGACGTCTGAGACTGATGCATCAGTGTTACAGCGGGACTAAAGACATGATCAGAAACAGGTTACAGCTGGATGATCTAGGAAGGTAGGAGATCAGGACATTTTGTTAACTCTGTAAAAGGTCATTTTAGCACATGGTGGCTCAGGAAAGTACAGAAATCTTAAACGTTGCCTAGTGGGCCTCCAAATCAAAACTATGAAATAGAAAAACGGGCCAAACTTTATTCCATACATGACAGGCTGAGATCCTACTGCTCTTCTTGAAGCTGTGGAAACATTCAGCAGTTAAACTGGTACATGTGGAGGAGGCCTTCTCATGATCATGTCAGAGTGTGTTCTGTTCATCACAAACGTACGGCAGACCTTCAGTGGACCGAGGCTTCCTGGGCATGAGTTTTTTATTCAAACACCAAAGAAATAGAAATCATTGTGGGACTAAAGTTTCTAAACTGAAACAGCAAAGTTGATATGAACCAGATTACAGGTTGTGTTTAGTTTACATGCCACTGTAGAGTGCATGCTCCTCTACTGGCTTCTTTCATTACAATTATCATCATCAAAATCACAAACTGAAGATGTCGTGATGATACCATCATGCTAATGCTAATGTTAGCTAGACAGATACCTTCGAGTCACCCCCGAATAAATACTGGTGTCAAGCCAGCCTCCAGTTTGTTTTCTGTTCCCCGTCTATTCAAGTTATTACGGGAATGGATGTGGAAACCAGATTTCAAAATAAAATTCAACTTTGAGTGAATTATCAGATATTTGAAGAACATGATAACAAATAATTTAGGCGTGTTCACTATTAGCACCCTGTCAATATCAAGGCAATCTTATTTTGGAATTCAAAGTAAAAGCCCTGTCAATTTTCATTTTTGAACTACTCTTTCAATGACTTCAGAATGCTCTTAAAAGCAAAAGTCATATTTCAAAAGAGCAGTTGCATTTTGTATCAACACTATCAAACCACAACAATTTGAAATTGCCCATGTTTGACTGACTTAACAATTTCAAAATGCTCTAAAATGGAAAATTGCTGTTTTCACAGGGTAATTCCACTTTAGACCAACAGTATACAACCCCACAGTGATACCATATGAATATCAAGTCATTCTGATGTTGCGTTTCCTAATAACGGCCTTTTAAAATTGCCCATATACGACCTAATTTTCAGTGATTTCAAAATGCTCTAAAATGGAAAATTGCTGTTTCCACAGGGTAACTCCACTTTAGATCAACAGTACACAACCCCACAGTGATAAAATATCAATATCACGTCATTCTGATGATGCCTTCCAAAATAAAGGCTTTTCAAATTGTCCATAATTGACATACCTTTAACAATTTCAAAATGCTCTAAAATGGAAAATTGCTGTTTCCACAGGGTAATTCCACTTTAGATCAACAGTACACAACCCCACAGTGATACCATATGAATATCAAGTCATTCTAATTTTGCTTTTAAAAATAAAAGCATTTTCAAACTGCTCATATCAGACTTACTCCTGGAACAGTTTCAAAATGCTCCAAAAAGAATAATTTCTGTTTTCACAGGGTAATTCCACCTTAGAATTATTGTGAATTTTTTTTATTCTTTCTGTTACTCACATGTATGTTTTGATGTGCATTGGTGTTAGTTTGAATGACATCTCCAAGGCCCTTTAATTTATAATAGTCTTGTATTGTTTTTTCTTTGTTTGTCAGGTGTTCACCACATTTAAAACCCACAAAAAAAAAGAATAGTTAACTCTAAAATTAGTACAGAGGTGGAGAATAAACTCAGCCATGGTGTCTTTTGTCTTATGCATTCAGAGAGATTACTGAATGTTTGGGTGGATGCATTTTCCTCTGTGGTGGGTTACGATGTGCACCCACCACCCCAGGCGCCGTGGGGCTTGGTGGTGCTGCTAATGTAGGCCCCCGTCCAGATGGGCATTTGTGGCTTCCAGGGTTGCCTACTTGGTTCAGCGGGGGACCTGACCACACGAGAGTACTTAGCCTTCACTTCCCTCCCCTCCTCATCCCCACTCCATCACACCGCCACACTTCCAGGGCTTTGGCGTACAGTTGTTTCACTGAGGTGGGTGTGAGACATTCCTGCTGGGTCCCCTTCCGACCACCTGTACCTCAATTTTATTCCACAGTCTATTCATCAACATCACTTGTGCTGGGCATGCTGAATGGCGTCCAAGGGATGGTCTGTGTATTCAACCTCTCCTAAGTTGCCGGTGCCCACGTCTCAGTTTGAAATACATGTAGATGATAACGTTTCTCGGCAGGGGCTGTGCTGACATCAATATTTACTATCTACTGTTACTTATACTTATCTAGGTGGTGGCTGTGATACTTGCTGTTGTGTACTGTGTTATATTATTGCTTGTTTTATTTTCTGTTTTTTTCTTCCAGTAGGTAATCCAATGGAATGTACTGTCTTGTGTTACAGTCCCTCATCCCCTCTGTTTTTCCCTCTTTTGAACGTCTCTTGTCCAAGTCTTAATATTTCCTATCAACCAATTATGTGTATTTCTTTAATAATAACTGCAAATTTAAATTTTTCTATAAAATGATTGAATAAATAAAGATATTTTACAATTTCCATCAAGTGGAGCAATATTGCAAAGCCATAATGGTCCGCTTTAAAAGAAAAATCTGTTGGAGAGCCTATACCGCCCACTACTGGTCGTTACACTTAAACAGGCGAGCTTTGAGTGCCTGACTCTGTCGACATTTCAAAAACTAGAGGTCAAGAAATCTCATTTTGAACATAAAAGTCTTGTGCAGAAAAAATGACGAGGAAGGAGAAGGGGTGAGTTCCTTTTTTTAAGTATACATTTTAAATATTAAGTTTTAAAAGTTGCTAACAAAGTAGTTCATCTCCAATTACATGTAATTGAGTAATCAAGTCTTGTAGCCTAGCCTAAGGCATTAGCTAGGTTATTTCTGATTGTAAAAATGTCTTTTTTCTTATGCTTAAAGCCGGGCGGACACTGTGCGACTATTTCACTCGCAGCACTCAGCTTCAGCTCCAACTGTACGACTTCCTCGCAGAGCAGATCTCACGAGTCATGTGCTCACACTGTACGTCTGGTAGCAACACGTCGGCCCTAAAAATATGCTAAAAATAGCAGTTTTTACTCAACACGTCAGACTTTTGTGTCTTGTTTTGCCTGTTGTCCTTCGGGAGCGCTGCAGGAGGACACACAGGGATTTATGGGGGTTGGATGAGGAAAACCAAATAAAGAAAGTAAATCTGTGTTTTGTGATCAGTTTAATTTGACATGAACACGACAAACACGCCTTCTTGACAATCATTGTGAGTAAAAAACGTGTAGAAATAAAAATATACTGTTGATCTAAAGTGGAATGACCCTGTGGAAACAGCAACTTTCCATTTTAAAGCTTTTTGAAATCGTTAAGTCGGTCAAACATGGGAAATTTCAAACTGCTGTGGTTTGATAGTGTTGATACAAAATGCAACTACTCTTTGGAAACATGACTTTTGCTTTTACGAGCATTCTGAAGTCATTGAAAGAGTAGTTCAAAAATGAAAATTCAAAGGGCTTTTACTTTGAAATTTAAAATCAGATGGCCTTGATATTGACAGCTAATAGTGAACACACCTAAATTATTTGTTATTATGTTCTTCAAATATCTGATAATTCACTCAAAGTAGAATTTTATTTTGAAATCCGGTTTCCACATCCCTTCCCGTGATACTTTGAATAGACGGGGAAGCGACAATAAACTGGAGGCTGGCTTGACACCAGTGAATAAATGCCTGTGCCTGAAAGGACAACGGTGTACAGACGTAGCACCTCCACCACTCAATCACAGCTGGAATCATCTTGGCTCTACTAGTCAGGCCTGAATGGTGATCAGTCCATCAGTTCTGACTCCAACAGCTTTAGCTTCAACGTTTGGTTTTCAGGACAGCCGGTGGTGGCCCTGGTCACAGCAACAGCACACACGTCTAACTAACCCTGCTGCATTCTGCTGCGTGTCCCAACAAGAGGACACCTCCCACTGATGTGATGAAAAGATCCTGAAATTAACAGATGGCTCTGCTGTCATCATTCCCCCCCCCCCCCCCCCCTAAAGGCTGAGAACTGCATCAACCAGTTTGGTCCCAGTTTATTTCTACTGCATATTCCAACAACCTGTACAACGTACAGCAACGACATGAACACCATTATCACCACATTTCCACTGGACATGTCTCCAAGAGATGGATGAAGACCTGGACATGTCTCCAAGAGATGGATGAAGACCTGGACATGTCTCCAAGAGATGGATGAAGACCTGGACATGTCTCCAAGAGATGGACTAACACCTGCACGTCTCCAAGAGATGGATGAAGACCTGGACATGTCTCCAACTGTTGGACTAGCACCTGGACAGAGATGGACTAGCACCTGGACATGTCTCCAACTGATGGACTAACACCTGGAAATGTCTCCAAGAGATGGATCAAGACCTGGACATGTCTCCAAGAGATGGATCAAGACCTGGACATGTCTCCAAGAGATGGACTAGCACCTGGACATGTCTCCAACTGTAGGACTAGCACCTGGAAAATGTCTCCAAGAGATGGACTAACACCTGCACGTCTCCAAGAGATGGATGAAGACCTGGACTTGTCTCCAAGTGATGGATGAGGACCTGGACATGTCTCCAAGAGATGGATGAGGACCTGGCCATGTCTCCAAGAGATGGACTAGCACCTGGACATGTCTCCAAGTGATGGATGAGGACCTGGACATGTCTCCAAGTGATGGATGAGGACCTGGACATGTCTCCAAGTGATGGATGAGGACCTGGACATGTCTCCAAGTGATGGATGAGGACCTGGCCATGTCTCCAAGAGATGGACTAGCACCTGGACATGTCTCCAAGTGATGGATGAGGACCTGGACATGTCTCCAAGTGATGGATGAGGACCCGGACTTGTCTCCAACTGTTGGACTAGCACCTGGACAGAGATGGACTAGCACCTGGACATGTCTCCAAGAGATGGACTAACACCTGGAAACGTCTCCAAGTGATGGATGAAGACCTGGACTTGTCTCCAAGTGATGGATGAGGACCTGGACATGTCTCCAAGAGATGGATGAGGACCTGGCCATGTCTCCAAGAGATGGACTAGCACCTGGACATGTCTCCAAGTGATGGATGAGGACCTGGACATGTCTCCAAGTGATGGATGAGGACCTGGACATGTCTCCAAGTGATGGATGAGGACCTGGCCATGTCTCCAAGAGATGGACTAGCACCTGGACATGTCTCCAAGTGATGGACTAGCACCTGGACAGAGATGGACTAGCACCTGGACATGTCTCCAAGAGATGGACTAGACCTGGACATGTCTCCAGTCCATCACTGAGACAGAAGGACTGGTTCCACTATCTGGTGATAATACCAACAACAGATCAGAGACGCTAACGTGAGACTGTTGGGTAAGTGACCTGTGAGGTGTAGCTAAAAAAGCCATCATCCTCCTCCTCCTCCTCCTCCTCCTCTGTACGCCGGCAGTGTGAGCTTACCTGTGCAGCAGCGACACTAACGAGCTCCTGGATGGATGAGGGGTTCTTATCAGCAGGTCCTGACTCGTACTGAACTTCTGGTCCTTCTCTCCGCGCGGCGTGCGGGTTTTTTCCGGATGAATTTAAGTAGGTTGAGGTGCCGAGGCCACGCCACATGGGCTGACAGCCGCTGCGCGGATCGGTCCAATGAGAGGAGAGGCAGGGCTCCGGATCCAGGCGCTCGTTGGACGAGCCGGACTCACCGAGACGGAAACAAGAAGATGCTGAGGCGGGGTCACTAGAGTTCAGACTGTCCCCGCGCCCGGACACTACCATCACAGCTCGGTGCTTTCCCTCTGACGGGCCGAAACGGTCACGTGACTGGGCTCCGGTGACCGGCTCGGGGGAGGAGATGAGAGAGCAGAACCAGAACCTGGGTCAGCACATTTTCTTATCCTTTAGATCAAGTTTGATGTCAACAGGGAAGCATTGTGATGCCATAAGGATCATCCCGTCTGCGGTGCTGAAATGAGGTAATCCTCGAATTCAGCCAATCCGAATGAAGGGGCGGGCCTTACCGGCAGATAGGGTGATTAGAGGGCGGGGCCAGAGCGTGGCGTTGCACTCGGAGCTCGTGCGACCTCTCTGGGTTACTAAGGGTCATTATTTAGATGCGATTTCACACACACACACACACACACACACACACACACACACACACACACACACACACACACACACACACACACACACACACACACACACACACACACACACACACACACACACACACACACACACACACACACACTCTGAAGCAATCCAGAGATAAAGGTGGTGTAAACCAAACAGAGTCTGGCTCTGATCAGCTCCAGCCTCAGTCAAATGAACCGCTTGTATTTGGTTGAAGGCTGAGATGATGAGTCAGATGACCTCAGGTAGACAGGTGCTCTCATCACCGGGGTCACCTGTGGAACATGAAACTATTTGATCTTTTGGGTCAGCTGTTCATCACCTGCTGGTAGCTGTCTTCTGGACTCGTGATGTCTGTTTACTTTATAACAACACTGTTGTGTGACCTGGCCTGCCTCCACCTGGTCGTCTGTCACATCTGGTTGTTGAAGTTCAGAACCAGTGATAACGGGGAACACGTGTGAGGATTACTGGTCTGTTACAGATGCGACTGGACACCGGGGGAAACAGAACTATGGGAATTGAAGGCGGAACACGGACAACAGGAATGAAAACTAAAACAGACAAACACTGAAGACAGGGAATATCTGGGGGTGTTCCAGACAGCGAGGGTTTCCCAAACCAGGCTTTCCTATGAGATTCCTGTGTAACCGCCCCTAAATGGGTTCCACGACCCTCCCAGTCACCATGGCAACACATGCTGCTCTGTGGCAGGCTAGCAGCTATAGGATAACTAATGCTTTGAGAAAATGATTGGACGAGGCGAGTGATGTCACCTTTTTCTTGCAGGGTGGCTGGCAGCTGCGAGGTGGTGAATTGGCGCCACCGTTGGCCCTCAGCTGCAGCTGCAGCTTTGCTCTTGATGGCTGAATTATTAATAAATGTGGAGTTTAAACATGAGCTCTGACTGGATTACATCTTTGTTGTGGTAATCTTCATTTGCAGCCAGGGGCGCTTGTCTCCACTGATGTCGCCCCAGGGCCAGTTTTCAATAGTAATCCACGAGGATTCTGGATAACGGATTGGATCAAACCTTTAGTTTGGGTTTTTCAGAGCTTTTTTGTAGGATTTGGATCACTTTGATGTAAAAAATGTGGATTAAAGTGATTCCATCAGAAGGGTGGATTCAGCGCGAATGTCATGTCCAAAATGTAATGAAAACTTTAAAAGTGTATTTGGACCATGCAGTATCTTACAAGATCTCCTGTTTATTCATGAGGTCTAAATTCTACTTGTTCTTCCGTCAGGCTGCAGTGATTAGGTCGACCTTCAGCCTTTCAGTACAGACCTACAACAAAGTAGAAAGAGTTTGGCCTCATAAAATAATCCCCAACAGCTGTCAAAATGGACCAAAACCATAAATTATTCTGTCACTAACTGATAAATATATTCATCACAATCGAAAATATTGTTGTTTTTAGAATATTTATCAGTGATGCATGTAGGGCTGAAACGATTCCTCGAGTACCTCGAATAATTCAAGTACAAAAAACCCTCGAGTCAAATTCTCTGCCTCGAAGCTTCGTTTAATTCATGTTTAATTAATTCATGGCTTTGCAATCGCCCGTGGTCATGTTTCACCCGGACCAAAATAAGTGACGCACATACACACTGCACTGAATGCACACGCGAGTAGCGAACGCAACTTAACTTTCTCTTAAGTCATGGCGGACAACGTGGACCCCGGTGGAGTGAGAAAAAGACAGAATATGTCAAAGGTGTGGGACCATTTTTCACGTCGTCAGGCGGAAAACGTAGTCCAGTGTAAATACTGTAAAATGGATTTAGCTTACCACCTCATATTCCTCCATGCTGCAGCACCTGACCAGGAAACATCCACGTGTAAATGTCACTTCTGCAAGCGGACTCGGAGCCTCTACAAGATAATGCAGTTTATCCTGTATTTCTATATGTTCTGCAGACGCTGTGTGACTTTTTCATTTATAGCACGGTTTCAGCTCACACCGTACGTGTGGTAGCAACACGTCGGTCTTAAAATGTGTTAAAAACAGCAGTTTTTACATCACGTCAGACTTTTTACAGTGTTATTATTGATGTCCGTTGTCCCTCGGGGTCGCTGCAGGAGGACACGGGTATTTATGAGAGAAAAACAAAAGAAAGTAAATAAATGTTGTGTGATCAGTATAATTTGACATAACCACGGCAAACTTGCTTTCGACAATCCTTGTTAGTGTGAGACAAAAAAAAAGTGTAGAAATTAAAACGGACGTGTGTTAATAGGGAAACAGCTGGCGAGCCATGTTTGAGCATGCACCGTGAGCGGTTCTGGTGCTGTTTGGGCCGCAGCCGCTCGCATTTGTTTACTGTAAAGTAAAGTTGAAGTGCTGAAGTTTTGGAAACTAATTTTGAATAAAACTTGAAGAATAACAGGCAACTGCCTTTTTCAAGAGGTCTTTCATATTTTATAACATGCTATTTGATATAATGGTTTACAAACGCAAAAGATTAATTTATTAGAGTACTCGATTAATCGATAAAAGATTCGATAGAGTGCTCGATTACAAAAATATTCGATAGCTGCATGAAAATGTCAACCAGGGCCAGACTTAAGCTCCGCCTCCTAAAGGCTACGCTCAGACGAGCTGGTCTCTCCACACCAGACGAGGAAGTCTGAAGTTATTGTCGAGTATTTGACATGAAGTCTTTTTTATTCAACACATCTATATTTGAAACTTATGTCGTGCACCTACGTCGTTTGTGTTGCAGGTCTCAGGTGAGTGGGCTGCTGAAGAGGATGGGTTGGGGTTTTCATTTCAAATAAAAATAAACCCACACTGGCTGTTCTACTTGTTGCTCTTTGCCGTACAGGTCTACAGTTCTACTTTGTGACTTCCTGTCCCGTTTGAGCTGGTTATCCAGATTTGATGATCCTGAAACGTTCCGATCCGGACTATCGTGATCCAATCCGATGTTGCTTAGAAAAACTGGCTCAAAAGGACAATTTAATGACAATTTTCAACAGCTTTGATATTTAACTTGTTTTAAAAGGCAAACCTGTGGCTTGATGAAAGCTAAATTGGAAACACGAGTTTGGATGCGTGAATGGAATTATCAGAAGATTTCTTTCAGAGAGAGAGAGAAGCGTTCTGGATGAAAATGATGTTTTGCGGCTAACTGAGTTGTTCACTTAGAGAAAACAGCATCAAACACATTCCTGTGTGCTACCTCACCCAAACAGGAGACCCTCTTGTGGATCCGGAGGTCAGGAGGACGGTGTCCATCCAGGGTACTCGGCCCGGCAGAGAAGACGCGAGTGAACCGATCCTCTGGTCCAGTGATGTCACCGGGTACACAGTCGAGCACTTGGCTTAGCTGTTTAGAAGTTTCTCGTCTTAACTCAGAAATCAATAACTGTAAGGAGTTTTTCGCCAGCTGGTTACAGTTTCGTTTATTCGTTGTTCGACATTTTTGGGGAAGGAAAGACAGGAAATTGGACGTGGAAACGGAGCGAAGCTCCCGGGATTTTCAGAATAAAGAAATGTACTGCCTTCCGGTTGCTTTACTTTTAAAAAAAGTTACTAACTGTGCGTCCCCCGTGAGAAGTTATCACCTAGCTAGCGGTCTCCGTTGTTTTTATCCTGATAATAGGGTTAGGGTTAGGGTGTGTGTGTGTATGTGCGTGCATGCGTGTGTGTGTGCACCTGCTCTGTCTTCTCGATCCCCAGTGAGTCGTGGAGGATGGCTGCTTATACTGAGCCAGGATTCTCTGGAGGTTTCTGCCTGTTAAAAGGGAGTTTTCCTCTCCACTGTCGCTGCATGCTTGCTTAGTATGAGGATTGCTGTATAGTCACTGACACTAGTCAGTGACTTGATGCAATTTGCTGGGTTCCTTATATAGGAAACATTATTTCTGATTGGCTTAATGAACTGTGAATTGGAATGTTTATTATGTGAAGTGCCTTGAGAAGACTCTTGTCGTGATTTGGCGCTTTATAAATAAACTTGAATTGAATTGAATCTCACACACCTGTTGTATGAACTTTTTAAAATTATTTTGATTCTCATTGTTTGACTGATTTTTACTGATTGATCCATTTTTCCATAAGTTTTGACACTAAGCTCTGGACAAGGGGATGTACCCACAGCAAACCCACTACTATTAAAAACGCTAAAACATGTGTCTTTTATCAGAGCTGGGTGTGACGTTTGCAGGGGGAAAAACCCGCATCAAAATCGGTTCAGAATTTAAGGAGTTATGGTTGATTCAACATGCTGACACTTCAGTGCCTCAGTCAGAGGGGGGAGGCTCAACCGGTCCAAGATGGCGGCGCCACCGCTCCTCAGCGCCCACGCGGGATCGAAACTCTTTTGGGCCTCAGTGCTTGCCGTAGCTCAAGGCTCCGCCCAGAAGGGTTAAGAGGTTGTTGCGCGCGCTCACGGGTCTTCTTCCTCGTCGTGTTGGTGCTGCCGGTCGTTGGAACGGAACCTCCTAGTCGGGATTATGTGAGTTCATTCTAGTCTTTCTGCTGTTGATGTCAGCGGTCGTCCGGTGGTTTCCGGTAGATTTCGGTTTACCTCTAGGACCTGACGCGGTGAACGGGGCATGGACCGCGAGGCGCCGGTCTCCCGGGCCCGCTCAGTGTGGTGGCAGCAGTAGCCCAGGAGAGGAGGCCGGTTCTGGCCTCAGAGCGTGGAGCCACACCGGGGTATGGGGGCTCCATCTCCTACAACTCAGCGTATTCTTACACGTCAGCCATTAATGTTGTTGGGGTCAGAGGTCACAGATGGCGTTATGCTCGAGTGGTATTATTGTATTAGTTATTATTATTATTGTATTGATATTGTATTATCTCACCCACGCTAATGGCTACATGCTAACTAGCAGACGACAACGAAGCAGAACTGCAGAGACGGCGGACCCGCCCCGCGTCTCCTGCTAAGCTGGTGAAAAGCTAGTGCTAGCTGACATGCGGTGGCTCTGGTGGCGCGTGCTCCCAGATGAGGGCCCGTGTTCTGGCCTGGTCCACCTGGGAGGAACCCGGGCCCTCAGTGGAAGGAACGAACGCAGCTCCAGCAGGAGCTGATCCCCGGGGAGACGTTAGCTGCAGGGATTAACCAGCCCAGAAGCAGGCTGGGATTCCGGCGTGCTTCGGTCTGCTGTTACGTGTGTCGGTGTGGGCGGAGCAGCAACCGGCGTCGGTTCTGCTCGGGTCGGATCTCAGCTCTGAACCGGTCAGGGATGGGGCTAGCTCCATCGGCAGGCATCGCCTCACCCTCCTGTGACAAATGCTGCAGAGTTGTGTGAGTCTCCTCCAGCTGTCGGTGGGCCGTCCCCGTCCATGTCTCATGGTGTGTGTCCTCTGTTCCAGAATCATGGCCGAGCTGCAGGAGCGGACCTTTATCGCCATCAAGCCTGACGGCGTGCAGCGGGGCATCGTCGGAGAGATCATCAAGCGGTTTGAGATGAAGGGCTTCAAGCTGGTGGGCATGAAAATGCTCCATGTGAGTAGATGGCCGGGCTGTGTGTGCTGTTGGGTGTTTAAAGCTGATTAGTGTCTATTTCTGACCACAGAACAAACGATTAGCTCCAAACGTCTGATCGGAGGCTGGATCACGAGGTTCAGTATCAGGGGGGTTAAGGCGGGACTCTGTCCCAGTGAGGCCGGGAGCTGCTCCACTGGGTCCAGAGAACCACCAGGTTAGAACCAGTACCTCTGAGGGACTGCCGCTGTGGGCCATAAGTCTCAGGCTAGACCACGCCTCCATAGCACGGCACCTGTGAGGCTAACAACGGGTCAGCTGAGACCGGCGTGGTGTCTGACATGAACCCACACCACCGGTTTCTGCCGACATGTAACAGCTCGCGTTTCAGATTCACGGAGATGTTTTAACTTGCTGATGAACTGCAGCCGTTGTCCTGGGGTCAGCTGGTCTGTGTCGTCTGCAGGCCTCTGAGGAGCTCCTGATGAAGCACTACATAGACCTGAAGGACCGACCCTTCTTTCCTGCTCTGGTCAACTACATGAACTCTGGTCCAGTAGTCGCCATGGTGAGAGCACGCTTTGAGCCGGTCTTGGTGCACGAAGCCCAGCGCCAGCGCTGAATGGGTCGTGTTTTTCAGGTCTGGGAGGGGAAGGGGGTCGTAAAGACGGGCAGGGTCATGCTCGGTGAGACCAACCCCGCTGATTCCAAACCAGGAACCATCAGAGGAGACTTCTGCATCGATGTCAGCAAGTGGGTGTTTGAACCGATTCTGTCATACATGGTACCAGAATCAGAACCTGTTCAGAACTCATTGTCTCCCCTTGGCTTCCCCCAGGAACATCATCCACGGCAGCGACTCGGTGGAAAGTGCCAACAAGGAGATTTCTCTGTGGTTCCAACCAGATGAGCTGGTCAGCTACACGAGCTGTGCCTTCAGCTGGCTCTACTGAGCTGCTCTGGGTCCCACAGAAGGTTCCCCTTCCTCTCCGACCAGAGAACCTTGGCCTTAGACTCCCCTCTCCCCACGTAGCTTGGAGAACTTGTTCCTCATCTGCTCATCGTCTGAGGATGTTCCTGGTTCCTCTGATCCTGCTCAGTCATTCCATGCGGTTTCCAAACAAACAGTTTAAGACTTGAAACTGTTTTTGTTAACTTTCCAATAAATGCTCTTGATACCTGAGCTGGTCTCTCATTCAGAAGAAAGGTTTTCTATACGACGGCTAGTCGAGGCGCTTCAGAGCCATAAAAATAAGATCATTAATGAAAACTGCAGAACTGACGAGCACCATCGTGAAAAGGTCCCAACATCCACCACTGAAGCCCAGTGGGCGGTCCCACCAGCTTTGCTTTGCTTTGTGGTCACTCAAGCAAACAGCTGAGCTGATGTAGCTAACCGGGGTGGGGGGGCTGTTATCCTGAAACTGGCGGAGCGACTGCTGCCTTCTAGGCTGCAAGGCTTTCCCTACTGGTGGACATCGAAGCCTCATGAAGCTCTTCCTGAGCCGACACTCGAGGCCTTGCTTCATTTGTCCCATCACCTACGAACAGCAGTTCCACTCTCCTCCACTAGGGGCTGGCACCAGAAGTGAGCAAATCTCATTGACTCCCATGTTAAAGCCAGTTTCACAGCAGAAATCAACATGTTTAAGCCTGGTCTGGAAAACCATTCTAGGTTCAATAGATCTAGTCTGTACTGCTGAGCCTTTCTAGCCTACCTGACTTTATTTATGCATTTATTTATTGTTTACATTTACACTCGGGCATCTCGTTAGGACGCCTCCTGGACGACTCCCTGGTGAGGTTTTCCGAGCACATCCAACTGGGAGGAGGCCTAAAGGACACGTTGGCGAGACCATGTCCATCACGTGGTCAGGGAACACCTTGTTTCCTCCAGAGGAGCTGGGGAGAGGGAAAACAGCCCTATCAGCAGTACCCTCTTCAGATTTGTCAGCCTGAGAGAGCAGACCAAGACTTCAGGTGGATGAACACGAGGATGAAAGATTCAAAGATTTTAATGTAAAACCAAGAGATACAAAAGCCACCAAATGAAAAGATCAGAGCCATGCTGAAACAGTCTGTAAACACTAGAGCTGTTGATTAATTCATTACGAAGACCCAAACATCTGCAGATATTTACAACGTCCACCACAACACCAACGTCACACCTGGAGCTGCAGTACCTGAAGGCCAGTGTTCAAATCAATACGTTGTTTAAATTATCAAATCAATACGTTTAAATTATTAACTCATTTGATTCCATTTGTATCCAAAATAAACTTTTACATTAGGACCCGCAGAACTCCAGATATATACCCGACATGTGTGTGTGTGTGTGTGTGTGCATTCATAATGTGCAGGCTGACATCACATCAGGTTCAACGTCACGTACAAAAGTCGTCCAGTGTGCTCGTCAGGGCCAGGAAGACCGCAAGTCTGGCCTTCAGCGCCAGGAAAGAGTTTAGTCAGCGTTCTACAACACTTGGATATGTACAGGATCAGAACAAGGGTCACACTGGGGTTAAAGGTCAGCTTACACAACATCAAAAATAGATGGGTTGTACTCGATTACTTTCAAATTAAAACCATAAGTGGAACCTGGAGGTTCTTTATTGCTCAGGAACCAACCAGAGGTCCAACCCCAGAGCCACTGAACGTAGGTTCAGAATGGTCCCACTAACCCGCTGAGTAATAAACAGATCTAACGCTTCTAGAATAAATCCTCTCTTAAAGAACCAGGGACAAGCGTTAGTCCAGGTTACACAGGTCAGGTGGTCCGAGTAGAAAAATAACAGCAGGTCGATGATAAATACGAGTGTCTCTCATCTGTCGTCTTCTAAAGGACTCTTAGAATAATAAAGATGCTCTCTGGAATTTGAATAAAGACTTTATAAACGCTGTTCTTTTAGGCGGAACGGAAACAAACGCGTCGCTGAGTCTGAAGCGGGCTCTATAGACATATACACGGTAGATATTCACAGTTAGAACCACTTCTGGTTGCATCGATTAGCTAAATAAAAGGATCTGTTATTGCATAAGTTCTGGTTTCACTCAATGGTCTAAGCATCAGGAGGTAGTAGGAAACCAGAACCAGTACCAGCACACCAAACCGGTTAGTCCACCCACTGAAGAGCTGTCTCCACTGGACAGTGGAGGGACATGGCTGCATGGTAGCGGTGCTTGGGGTCTCACCGCTCAACTCTACCGATAAAGGTCCCGGTGTGTCACCAGGAGGACTCGTGGCTCCGTCTCCAAATCCGATCCACAGAAGCAGGTTGTGGGTTTGTTCCTCGGGTGGACGAGAGTCCTGCTAGCAACAAGGACAGATTGTGGGTGGATCTGGACCGAGCCCAGCTCTAGCACCAATAGAACCCCTCTGGTACTCGTTTACATTATGGAATGAGGACAACAGGACACGAAGACCAGAAGACGATTCAGGATCAAGACCTAGCAACCAGACCTGGTTCCAACACAACTTGGTTTCCACTGAAACAAGACAAAGTTCAAAACTGGCTCGTTGTCACGGATACGGGTCTAGTGGTGGGGAACCAGACTGGTGGCTGTGATCTGGACCGGACCCAGACCACAGGTGATCCTTGGCAGATGTCCCTGCAGCGCCGTGACCTCAGTGTTCCTGTTTGACGTAGTAGCTGCCTGAGCTGTTACTCTCCTGGTCGGAGGTTCCCTGTGAGAAGGTGAACTCGTCCACCTCGGCTGGCTCCTCCTTCATACGCAGGAGAAACTCTGTAGAAGGACAGAGACACGAGACATCAGCTCCTTGTGTTCCTGCAGTCAGGACATGCAGGAGGTGGTGGTGCTAGTGCTGGATGAGTCACACATGGAACCCTGGACTCCAGCAAGCCTGTCTCTGGGTGGACTCCGGCGTCTCCGTGCCGGTCTTCAGTGTGACGTTACCTGGTTTGTGGGTGTGATGGAGGTGCGTTTGGGGCCTACTGGACCCCTGGTAACTGGGCGGACTCTGCTCTTCGTCTCCTGAGAAGCTGCTTCCCCTCCTGCCTGCCTGACTGAAGGGCCGTCGACCAACTGGAATCTTCCTCTCTAAACACCAAGCCAGACTTGGGTCAGTTACCAGGGGCTCACACACACGACTTCATTCAGCGGGAGCAAGTTCTCAGAGTTTGGGTTGGGAACCAAGAAGGACAGTGAAAGGTGAGAGATCAGGGGGAAACCATAGCCAGACACAAGCCCCCGTCCCCAGCTGCAGACCCGGGAACAGACAGCAGCAAGAGTGGAAACAGCGGCAAATCTTTTGGTCACTTTTGTGTTTCTGCCAAATTCCTCCTAACACGTTTCGAGGTCAGCAGCACGCCATCACCATTGTAGAGTGCTGGTAGTGCGCTGCTGTCCTCCCAACCTCAAACACAACTCTGATCTATGAGCACCTGGTAGCCGGGCTCTGACCCATGGAGCCCGGCCGGGCTGGTCCCTCGCCTTGGACCTGTTTCTTATGGGTGACCCTACCAGCTTGGCTCCTACCCCTCCACCACGGTAAGGTGGCAGCCCAGGGGGGTGTATTATTTAATAATTATTACTATTATTAAAATTGATTTGTTATCTAGGCGTTCTGTTGGCTGAACCAAATTTTCTCCACCGGATGCCGACAATCCAGCATGTTTCAGCCTGAAAGGTTAGAGGATGCTGCCCAGTGTCCGTACGGCTTCCTCACACGGGCCGTGGCCCAGTTTAGCTCAGAGCTCCAGCAAGTTTCCACATGGAGTCCGTTTTTCTGTGTGAAACAAGCTTCAGGTTAGCACACCTGTCATCATGGGCCCTGTTGCAGGGCTCAGTGGACGACTGGCCCAACAGTAGGGAGCCCAACTCATGGCCATCCATTTCCAGACCACAGGTTCCTTGTTGTCCCCAAAAATAAATGCAAGTTAATGGGACTATATCAGTTATTTAGTCATGTGTGTGTTATGCAACTGGCGTTGTTCCCTTTGACTGCTTTGCTGTTAACTCAATAGTGGTGACATCCTTCCCTTTCCCTACCAAACACATAAGCACGTTTATGTTTGTCCAGTTTCCCACACCAAGTGGACCCGGCAGTGTTTTTGACTGATCGTGGTTTCAGACACACGGAGTGACATTTCGTGATCTAGTATTGGAATCAGTCTGGTTTGCAGAGCTGTTTCATCAGGCGGGGAAAGATGCTCCTGAAACGAAGGCACCTTCAGAGGTGATGACGACCCTAATACGCAGGGCCACATGTAAACATAATATTCTACCTGTCCCACCAGTTTCCACCTCAGGGTGTGTGATAGGCAGATGAGAAGAGAAGGAAGAGAAGAGAAGGAAAGAGGAGGAGGTACTGACTTTTCTTTTGGCCTTTGTACTGTGGGGTCTTCTTTTTCTGTTTGGGCACAGCCTGGGACAAGTCTCTGTTACCTGAAATCAGAGGAGAGAGATGTTACAGCACCAGAAACCTGCAGACAGTCAAACAACATCAGGTGATAGACCAACGGTCCGTCTGTGGTGCAGTCGTGTTTTCACCATCGTACACGGCAGGATAAAGGGGTGTGGTCTCTGTGCTATACCGGACTTCTTTTTAGCGTGGACGTAACTTGTTTTTTACGGTGATTGAAGCTACGCTTCCTAAAGCTCCAGTGTGTAAAGCTTGGTTTATGCTTGATGCATTCACTTTCCGCTTGGTGATGCGGCTCGCGGATGGAACGCGCTTCACAACTCGCAGCGTTTATGGTTCGTGCGGCTCGTCTCTGCGGTGAGCCAATATTCTCCCAAACTGTAGGGGGCAGCATGGAGCTCTACGGCATGCACCCAACACTACACCATAGTAGAAGTAGAAATTACTGTTTACAACATGGCATTCCAGCATTTTTAACAGCGTCCTCGTCTTTTCCGACAGTGCGAGCGATTTCTCTCCAAGAATTATTAACAACATGTTGATCACGGTGATCTCTGAGAGCTGAATCATACAAATGTCTGTATTTAACAACCTCTGCCATACTAGTTTTTGCCAGTCCGCCATGTTTTTCCACGTCCGACCGTCCGTCCGCGTGGTTAGAAATTTTCCAAGGTGCGCGTTGCGGAAATTCTGGGCCGTGCGGAGGTGCGGTGGAGGGGCGTGGTTGTTAAAATGACGCAACTTTTCCACGCGGAGCCGTGCGGACCTCGCGGACGCGTCAAGCATAAACCAACCTTAAAACCATTCCTCTCCTTAGTGCCATAAAGTTCAGAGTAGGCACTGCAACTACGGTAGCCCACACTCATCAAAAAGGCAATGTGTCATTGTGGTGGTGACTGCACAGCTGCAGGGGAGAGGGAGACACTGTAGCACTGACAGCTACTTCGGGGGTCACACACAGAAAACACGACACCAGCTTTGCATACACAGCGTCTCCCTGGCTCTAGCCATGGCTAACTAGTAGCTCATCTCCACCACGCCAGCCGTGAGCCCCGATTAGCTGTTGGATAAGTCAGCATTGTTTACTTGACCTCCAGCGATGAGCCAGTGAAATTATGTTACCCTGAAATATTCTGTTTCCCTTAGGCAGTCGAGCAAATATCTGCAAATCCACAGAACTTATAGTCCATTATGAGGACCATCCATCCATTTTCTGAACCCGCTTGTCCACGGAGGGTCGCGGGGGGTTGGTGCCTATCTCCAGCGGTCAACGGGCAGTCAGGCGGGGTACACCCTGGACAGAGAGCCAGTCCATCACAGGGCAACACACACACACACACACACACACACACACCTAAGGACAATTTAGACAGACCAATCAACAGCATGTTTTTGGACTGTGGGAGGAAGCCGAACCCGGGACCTTCTTGCTGCAAGGCAACAGCTCTAACCACTGCACCACTGTGCAGCCTCATTATGAGGACTAAACTACCTCAAATAAAAGATATTAAACTGAGTGAGATTACATCTTTTTACATAACTTTCATAAATGTTAAATAAGCTTGCTGCAAAAGTGAACAAGGATGTTTTTACTGTACCTTTTATTGTTTTTAGGAGGAAATACAGATAAAAATCACAACATTATTACATTACATCATTTTACCGTAAAAGTTGATCACAAATGTTGTGAAAATAGCCAGAAGTGCGATGTCCCGATACGGGGGACAGAATATTTCAGGGGAACACAATTTCTCACAACACCTGACCTCCAGGCTGACGCCACCCCTCCTCCGTGTGTGAATCATGACCGCTTCAAGATCAGAACTAGCTGCTTCCTTCAGGACTGGTAGGCTGATAAAACAGTCATGATTATAAATGCTTTTTAAAGAGGTCGAGTAGCTCGTTTTAAGCTTTGCGTGGGTTAGGCTACACAGGTTGGAAACTGATTATACATCAAACTCATGAGTGAGCCACCTTAGCTGCAATACTTTCTCTGACCTGCATGGTGCTAAAGAGTCACATTTTTATCTTGATTTCAATGGATTTCACACACGGGGCCTTACATCACCAGACTGTGCTAAATGCAGGGTGGGTAGTTCAGAGGGTCATGACATGGCCACTGTTCTTGATACTGACGCAAAAACATCGGAGACACATGGACCCTCCTCTTTTGGCATATCGGCTAACCTGTGCCTCCCCGTTTGCTTCTCCCTCATCTGCCATAGCATGGGTTGCAAAACATTTGTTGGCTACATGTTTGAACTGTATAGATGATGACTTTCCTCCAGAAAAATACACAGTAAACATGCCCTGTATATAGATACTTGGCACATTGAATAGGTAAAATGTCCAAAGATGAGTACTGTGACAGCTGCCCTGCTGTCACACCTCAGGTGAATGGCTGTCTGGTCATGTTTCCTTTATTTTGAATATGTGAGTGTTTTGTTTCTATGGATTGACAGTTTAGGTGGCTGTATGACGTGCACACATTGAGTTATCGGTTTTAGTCTGTAGGTGTTTATATGATATGTTTTTCTTTGAGTTGCCAGTGGCCTTGGAGTTGGAGCAGCTGTAGCAGATCACTTGGCTTAATCAGCACCATTGGGTCATACCAACTCTCAAGAGAGAAGATTCCTGTGTTTGTGTATTTACCGCATTTTCACGACCATAGGATGCACCGTGTTATAGGGCGCAGCTTCAGTTATGGGTCTTTTTGGTATTTAACACATACACCAGGTTATAGGGTGCGGTAAAACGTACCGGTAAACATCTGTGCGGGCTCGGGACGGAACATATCAGTGCAAACCAGACATTGTGAAAATTATAAACAGCCAAAAGCATGCTTCACTTTACTGGTCTAGTCCTGGTTCAGCCTGGTTTAGAGGTACGTGCACTCTGATTGCATGAGCCTACGGCTCGTGCTCTTCTAATGGGCTCGACACACGGGAGGCAACTTCGCCTCTCCATTCATTTACAATGAGACATGCGCGACAAAGCGATAATGGCGGGTCTCCCTCCTACTAAAGCCGGGCGTACACCGGGAGTGCTGCAGGAGGACACACGGGGATTTATGGGGGTTGGATGAGGAAAACCAAATAAAGAAAGTAAATCTGCGTTTTGTGATCAGTTTAATCTGACATGAACAAGATCAAACACGCTTTCTTGACAATCTTTGTGAGTAAAAAATCGTGTAGAAATAAAAATGAACAGCGTGTTATTAGGGAAATAGCGGACGAGCGGTGTTGATGCATGACTGCGCATGCACCGTGAGCAGTTCTGGTACTTTTTGGGTCGCAGCTGCTCGCAGCGCCGCTTCAAGCGCTGATGCGCTGTGTTTAAGTTCAGAATGTGTTTACCGGTAGTTGTTGGATTTAACCACATAAACTTTCCATATGAACTAAATCATATGTGTTATTAACAGGCCTAAGAAAATCGTGTGATTTGAATTGTGTTTTATTAACCCTCTGGGGTCCATGGACGCGTATCCGCGTCTTTAGATCAGGTCTGATTTGGGACGCTGTAGCAGCAAGACTCCGCCTCATTGAGTTTCGGTTTCAATTCAGCTTTAAAAAGGAGATTATAAACCACACCCCAGTTTTTAAATTTTGTTAATAGGCAACGTAAAAGCGCAGTTATACTAAACTAAAAAACGACCTATTTTTAGACAATCTGATAACTTGTCAAAACATCAGTTTAGTAATCCGTGAGAGGGAACGTGCTTGTGAACATAAAAACCCACAAAAACATGAGATACTTCTGCTGTTGGTGGAAGTCTCACATATTCAGCTGATAAAAAGCATCATTATGTAGCTGAGAGAGAGAGGAAGGCCGCACGAGTAACCAGATGTGCGCAAAAACGAGCCGCTTCGCGGGAAAGGAGTGGCGCGAACGGAGTAACAACAAACTATTAGACAGATATTGACAGTAAACTTCATATTCTGGAGCGATCGGACAGATATGTTGTCTCTGCAGTTTAGTAGGCTGTTATTAGGCTTTAATAAAGGGTGATGAGAAGGATAAATGCCCACCAGGTAGTTCAGATAGTACGGCTGTTTTTTGAACTGGAAGCAGAGGAAGTGGGCGGAGACTCACAGCCGGAGTCTGAGGGAAACAGCGAGGATGTTGATGACGATGTGGCAGATCCACAGGTCTGTCTTCGCTCACGTCCGCACGTTCATGCCACGCCCCTCATCTTCTACTACGTTCACGTCTCACAACAACACAATAGGCGCACCGCACCACAGGGCGCGGTGTACATTTTGGAGAAAATTTAAGACTTTTAGGTGCGCCTTATGGTCGTGAAAATACGGTAGTTATTCTCTTTTGTAAATAGTAGTTGGGCTTTGATAGTAATATGTATTCACTCAAACATAATGGACTGATTAGTATGTATTTGTTAGGGGTAGTTTATCTATGTTCTTTGTTAATTGATGTCTCCCCACCCTAGTGTGTTGACAGTGGTCTGATCAGCCACTGTTTGAGTTGATCCTGTTGTGTCTGTAGTCAGGTCCCGAGTTTGGGTTCCTTTGTTACTATGTCCATTGTTATGTAATTTAAGTACCGGTTGGAACCCTCTTTTGAGAAAAGAACAAAGTAAAAAAAAAGTAATAAATTAGGATGTCAAGAAAATCATCAGTGCTCTCCTTGCTGGTTTACAAGTCTCTGACATGTGGTGGCAGAGGTGGGATCTTGCTAGCCATGAGTGCGTGTTGAATTAGTAAGACCCAGAGACAAGAACCATGCAACGAGGAGGTAGAGGTAGACAAGGTCATCTGGTGGAGTCGCAGGATCCAGCGAGACAAGAGGAACAGGCTGAAGACCTGCAGGATGAGGCAGCTGGAGGAATCATACGCGCTGAGGGTGAAGAAGTAAGGAAACCAATTTTAATCCTAACTTGTTGGGATACTTTGGGGCTATATGAGCCAACAGCAGGCTCACGATGAGATGATCACGGAGGAAGCAGCACATCAAGAACAACGATTCCAAGATCGTCAGCAACAGTTTCATCATTTGCAACTAGAGT